GAAGAAAAGAGGAAAGGCGAGGGGGGGGGGTTGCATGCAGAGGGGAGGAGAGGGGAAGAATAGCAAGAAGTCCCGGGGTTGGAAAGAGAAGGGGTCGAGAGAGGGGGCCTGCAAAACGGTCTACTGCTCCTACCCTCCAATCGGAATTTCGTCTGGTTGTTGGGAGAGAGGGGCGTTCGAATCCCTCCTAGAGCCGGGAAAGTAAAGCTTCCTGGGTGTTGTAACTTTTTGCCTTGCCTTGCTACCGTCGTGATGTACTTTGTTTGCTGACACTTGTGGTGGCATCACTCTCGTCTTTGAGCGATATGATCAGACGGATGGCCCAGATGCAACAGAATATGATAGTGAGGGTGAATGAGATCAGCGCATTTGTGGTTGGTAGTTCAGTGAGCATGATGTAGTGCATGATAGTTCAGTTTGCTACACATGCTTTGTATCGTGCACACATACATTAGGACTCACTCTCCATCCATCCACTCATGTACATCACATCGTGGTTTATGTGTCTCTTCACCACTCTACCATGCTGGGACACAGTCCTCGCCATCTGTGACCTGATCTTTTTGGAAGGTGGCTAACCCTTGGTGTTTAGTGTTCTACAATGCCGTGCACTACTTGAATGTCTGTGCAGGATATCAACGTCTCTTTTGTGGAGCATTAGCAATACTGGAAGTGTGTTCAGGTATGTCTTATACGTAGTTGTAAAATAGAGTGGGCCACCTTTTTAAAGCCGGCCCTAAAAGTCAACTTTTTGATCCCTTCGATAGGAGCTGATGGTAAATAAGAAAAATAGTCAAGTCTCATTATAAATAACATGAAATTATGGATAGCCCCGCAGAACACCGGGTAGAGTAAAACACAAAATTAAGCCCCACCTATTAACAGACTGTAGAAATAGGTTCATAGCTGCGAGCAGCCTCATTCCAATGGAAGTCCGTGTGCAGACACAAGGAAGTGTAGCTAATGCACACACTCAGCTGGAGCCAATATTTTCTATTGACGAACTCGACCAACTTGCAGGCCAGCCTCTCCTCTATGGCATATAATCAGTGTCAAATATATATAGTATATACGTACGTGCTTTGGATGAGGAGGTCTGTCCACTCTACTATTAGAGGTCAGTAAACTTTAGGGAGAGGTCCGCTTTACTAGGAGGTCAGTCCACTTGAGGTCAGTCTACTTTACAAAGACATGGCCGCCAACATCGAGGGTAAGAATGGTGGCAGCGGTGGCGGACTGGGCACAGGCACGTGATTGCTACACTTGCCATCAGTCCTCGACCTCTGTGCTTATCTGCCGCGAGCTAAGCAACTTCCTTCTTGTAGGAGTGGGTCTGCTCGTCGCAACCAACCTCTTAGTGAAATGGACTGACCTCCTCATCAAACGCGCATGCGTACTGTTTTTGACATTGTTTACACGCCATAGTCCTCATGAAAATATATCAAGCCAGCAGTTGCGTTTGTTCTGAGAGGAGTAGAATGTAAAGATCGTACTTTTTCCAGTCAGTTTATGGGCGACATGTAATTACACCGTGAATGAAGTGGGCCTACACACACACACCACAGAGAAAAATTCTGTAATCTGATGCAAGCACAAAGATTGTATTTTTTTTAATGAATCCTGCTGACTGTTTTCAAGTCTCCAGGTATTTGATTTCATTCTATAATAATTATGCTATTCCAATCATTATTGTTAGCTGAGTTACTGGCCATGGATCGGATTGAGGCTATCCTTCCATTCATTCAGAAATTACCATCTAGACTGTAAGTGGCTAAATTCACTGTACACGACAGGCGGATGTATCTAATAAAACAGGGCATCCCATCAAGTCCTTATTCCTGTCCTGTGGAGAACTTCAGTGACGTGTGTGGAGCTGGAGCGATATAGGAGCATTCTCCTACGTGATAATCCAGCAACAGTGCCTACTGGAACCGACTTCAAAACACCAAAGAAGCGTAGGACAGCTTCAAGTAAGATCTGCTTTACTAATAAAGAAGTTATGTAGTGGGCAATTGATGTGCCTGTCCATTTTTCCCACACCCCGCTTTTTTGTACTTCAATTTTCCATTTTTGTGCCCAGAATCTGCATTGTATATAGCGATGTACATTAAACTATATAGCAGTAAGGGGTAGGGCTAATATGAAATGCTGAATCCCCTTGTGTGGAGTATCTTTGTCCTATCTATTTGTGTACATGCACTGTGGCTGCTAATTTTTTCTTCTAGCTTTTCTTTGCCTTTCTCTTTACCACATCCCCAGTTTTCTAAATGCTATTTTAAACTAAGTGAACCAAAGGCTTTTATAAGTAGACAGGGGTTAACTTTGCACCCAAACCCACCCTAGTGTACCTGGCATAGTGTTCAGGTGTTCAAATGAAGGGTTAGCTCTGGAGTACTTTGTACACAGCAAAAACCACAATAAGGATAGCACGTAAGCAAAATGTAAACTTAAGAATGTCTTTATTTCACAGGTGTGGCATCAACACCAGTTTCTCGGTCACTTTTAGGTCGGATCATCACTGCTCTAACCCCTGTTCTTCACGAAATGTACCTGCCACCCGTGACACAACGGTTCAAGCTACCTCTAATCTATTTGAAACACCTACCAGGAGGAAAAATGAGATTCGTTTGGATGGTGACAGTGAATGCCACTCAGTCAGTTTGTCATCCAGGAAGAGAAAGAGAGACAATCTGGAGAACTCTGATCCAGAATTCAATGTCCCTGCCATTGAAATGAAGGAGTTACTCATCCCAGAGAAACGTCTCCGCCCTTCCCCATCCTTTTATACCCACAGCAAAACTCATTCTCCACCTTTCTCACCGTCTCTTTCTATTCCTACAGCATTTATCTTCTCCCCAACTCCTACAGCGAGTTGTGGAACCTTAGTCTATGAAACGCCGTCATCTAAACTTGCAGCTTCTCCCAAGACTGAGCGTGAGATGCTATCTCCAGCAGTGAGAAGAAGTGAAAGGGTAGCTCAGAGGAAGAGGAGCCTACCAAGCATGAAACAACCGTCCTTGCTTTCATTTTCATCTCCTGTGAGTTGCAATGGAGTGTACTCCAGAGTATTATTGTCCTCTTTCGATATATTATTATGGTACTTTTGTTTGTTTGCTTTTATTGGGGGATTATAACGCTTGCATTTCGTTTGATAACCTACTTGTACACATGCCATAATGGTTGTTTTGTATAATGGTATATCAGCAATGAAATAGCATAGTTATGTAGCCAATGTCATCACTTCTGAATAATTATTTTTCAACAGAGGGAGTGCCCGCTACAAGATAGGCTTCACACTAGGGAGTGTACCAGTGGAGAAAGAGCAGCATTTCAGAGCTTTGCAACTGCCACTTCAGTCAAAACTCACCTGAACACTCAATTAATGTACTAGGGAGTCCAATTCATTTATTTTAAAGATGTTTTTTGTAAATATTTCTATGATCACATCATTCTGTGTGGATGCCCAGCCATTGTCTTTTGATACAGTAAGGGTTGGCTGTAATCAGGTTGGAGTGTCTTAATATTTTACAGCCAACCCTAACTGTAGAAGAGGGAGGTCTGACTACTGCTATATAGTGGTCACCAGTGGTCATAATGAACCTTACCGAAATACCTAACTTGTTGCTGGGTCAGTCTCGGTCTGCCATAATTATGCAGAAACAAAGAAAAGTATTATAATTATGCAATGCTTATGGGCACCCAGAAAGAGAGTTTCACGCTACGCGCACTCTTGAGCGCTTTCAGTGTGCTTAGCATAACTATTGCCTTCCATAGCTAGCTAATCCATAATTCTTTGTTCGAGCTCTCTCCATTATAATATAGCAAAAAGACCTCTGCCTTGCAAACACCTCAGCTCATTCCGGCGGCGGCGACGTCCCGATGTCTGCCATTAACCCCGGCCCAGCCCACCCTCCCGGCCCGACCGTTTACGACGGAACTCCTCGAGCTTTCAATCGCAACAGAAACTGGCAACTCCATACCTGTAGCAAACACTCATGCGGCAGACCTGGCTACCTGCGCCATTATCGATCAACGCTCTTCCCCACGCAGTCAACACAGCATGGTCCAGTTGCTTGCTATCCGGCGCGCCACCGGCCTGGCGTACGGGGGTTCGGCCGTCGACAGTATACTTTTTCCCTCATAAGACCCTTCAGTAGTTTACTAGTGTGTTCAACACCCCAGCTACATTCCCGTTGGACACTGTGAGCCTTCTCCAATACAACGTACAAAGCTAAAAAAAAAGTGACTATGATAGAGCTAACTCATTTGGTTCAATGGTGGAGTGACAGTGTAGGAGATCTTAAAAACGCGAGCGTAGTGTGACTGCTAGTGAACTCTTTTAATTATCGCTTTTGTCCACCTCGTAGCCTGTGGTCCCAGATTAGCCCTAGGACTCTTTTGGACACTTTAATGGTGGTGGTTACACGGTATATAGAATGACACTTGACAACTTTTTTTACCTTTAGCTCTAGCTGAAAGATCGTCATGTGTGATAGGATTGGAGCTATTAGCGTGCTCACAATCTATTCATAAACCATGCTCCATAATATATCATCCCAATCTTGTCTCCCTTCTTTTTAAAAATAAAATCCCAAAATTGTTTCTCCTCTAAATTAATTAGCCAGAGTTTATTATCTCCCCCCTTTTGTTGCTAGCGAGGAACCTGCAACACAATGTTTTGGGTGAGCTCTGTAAATATTAGTTTGCATGCGTTTTGGATTACGTGCGGTCGCTACATTCATCGTGAGGTCGGTCTATTCATCATGAAGTCGGCCTATTTCATAATGAGGTCGGTCTATTTTTTTAAATTCAGGTCGGTCTTTTCATTATGAGGTCGGTCTATTTTACCATGAAAGCGGTCTTAATTGTTGAGTCGGATTTAGATTTCTAAAGTTCTCTTCAACCTGACTCCATCGTAGTCTCGTACCCAGCTGCTCCACCCACAGGGGAAAGGAGTGTCTGGGAGCTATTCCTGGTCCGAAAGACGTCATATCCGTAGTGTTGACCACTCGTCCAGGATATGGGTCCCCGCCTACCAAAGTCCGCGGACTACGGATACACGTGACGTTGATTGGCCGTTCGGCAATCTGATTGGATATCTCGTTGTGGTCGACCAAGAATCAGGGGGGACACTCCCTGACCGAGAATAGTTACCAGACCCCTTTTCCACATGATGAGTGTGTTGGGTCTGGGAACGAGACTACCTGCATCGGACAATTGGACACCACATGTTCATCTTGCGCATATGAAGAGGTGTAATAAAGTTGGCCGCCCTGTCGACAAACGGACGGAGCACCCTAGTCGGAGCGGAATTAGATTGCTCTCATAACAAAACAGACTGACCTCAATAAAAAAAAATTGACCGACCTCATTAGCTACAAAAAAGACCGACCTCATAATAATATAGACTGATTTCAGTAAAACGTGGTGTTTTGCATGATACTTGGAGAGAGCATACGACACGCTATGGTAAAATAAAGGTGGTATATATACTTTTTCAGTTTCTGAGAATACTAGCAGAAATGCCATCAGGGCCATTTGTATCCAGTTTTAGCAGTTGGTGTTCAATGCCGATTATAAATACATCTATGATGCTAGGTACCATGCCCATCCCTATAATATACTAAGTACTACCGTACTTAAACTCTGCAGCATAAAGGTCGTGAAGGTCAGCATATTTCAGGAGAGAAAAAGCATTGTGTAGAACAATTTTCTTTTTCGTAATTTTAATGTTGCATCTATCCCAAAAGAATAGGAATAGGCGTTTTCTGCTTATTTTAACAAACTACGTTTTGTAAAAGGTTAACCAGATGGTGGCCTTCTGCTCTTGCTGCAAGATTATCCATCATCGAACATTGCTATACTCTTGCCCTCAAAGATTCTTCGCTAATGTCAGGGGTAAACTATCAAGTTTGATGATGAAATATCTAGGAAGAAGAGCAGAGCTCATGTTATGTCAGCTATGAAGAGTATATAGCCAAAAGCTATATTTTTAGCTAACACACACAAGGATAATGCTGCTTCTACGGAGAAATGTGGGAAGACGCCAGGTTTATAGACATACCCCGCGACAACTTACCCTTTTAAGTGCAGAGCTTGTTGCAGGGTTTTGCAGTCAACTTACAAGCACTGAGGAATGCACTTATAATGAAAAATGTGTCAATCTGCACAAAACGTCATTGGATGTACAGACTTCGGCATATGCGCTGAAGTTACCTGAGCATGAGTAGCCTGACCCCGCACTGTGACTTAATTTTTTTTTATAATGATGGGCAATGGGTTCCAACACTTACAAAACACCGCAAACATAATTATACTTTTGGTACACTCCTTACACTGTTAAGCTTATTGTAGTAGGGCAGTGCTCTTCTTGCAGCAAGCTCAAATTCCGGAAGTACCTTGTCACTTGGGTCTTTTTGTTTTATAGTTTCATTCATAAATCCACTGCTATTCATAACAGTTTCAAACCAGGGCTCGTATTTTGCATACTTCTGCCATTCAGGAAACACCTTGGGCTCCCAGGTTAGCATACTTTCAGAAAAGGGAAGACCAGTCTGTGTACAGTACATTTCCAATGTTTCCCTGCAAATATTATACATGTCCTAACACGACGGCAAAACTATGTACATAAACTTTCATAGCAAAGTGTGTTCAATGGAGTTAGTTATCTGCACTAACACAGGCTACCCGCATATAATTATATGCATATAGCTATGGGGTGCCGTACATGTCAAATTTAATTTCTGCTTATATTTTTATCACAAGAGCAGATATAATTATACCGATTTGAGGTGGGAGTTTGGTAAATTCTCTTCGTTTTCTTCAGTCTACCATGCAGGTATATATTTACTAAATCCCCTTACTTTTGATGCTCAACAAGGGATAACAGTGGAGGATCCAGGGGGGTTTCTTTGTCGTGCGGTCCGAGCGCGCGAGCGGGGCACCGCGCATACGCATTTTGGGTGTGGCTTTCGATCCCTGTGTGTGCGCGCATGTGTATATGCATAGCGCGTGGACTACACAGTTGTTCATCGTCCGATGCTCGGTCCGATGGCTACAACTAGAAAACGATACGTCTTCTCGTGACATATCTTTTCGACTGCTGCTTCAGTGAGCACAAAATGGTAACACCAATCCCACGCTTCGAGGTGTGGCTGAAACCCCCCTCTCTTCAAACCTGGATCCGCCACTGGATACTTGGTAAATCCCCTCCCTTTCACTGCTTCACTATAAATCCCAACCTTTCATCGATTCTCCCCATGGACATTTAGTAAATCCCCTCCCTTCCATCTCTTTCCAATGGAGATTTAGTAAATCGCCACCCTTATATACCTGTCACTTCATCCCTGTATTTTTTGTCCCCGAGAAGTAGGGACTTGCGTGCTGCGTTTTATTTTTTGGTCCCTGATAAATCCCAACCCTTCCAATTATACGATGAACATTTACTAAATCCCCACATTACGTGTGTCGCTCGCCCTGGAAATTTAGTTACCCAGGGGGTTGTAGCCACGCCCCTGCCCCCATCATTAGCTGTCCGTTATTTGCGGGGTTCCAAACGAAAAAGGCCTGTGAACAAGGCTACCCCGGCATCCCCATGCCCTGGTATGCGCTCAAGAGCTACCGCCAGGAAATGTAGGCAAGCGAAGCGAGCAGTTTTATTCACGCATATCTACAATCACCTATAACAATGGTATCGCCGTCCCATTACATAATAGAAAAACCCTATTTTCAAACGAAGCGTGAAAGTTCTCAGTCATGCTTCCACTCTGAGTGCGACCTATATACAAAACCTGTTGGAAAATACTCTTTACACAAATGCCTACAAGTGGAAATACCTCAAAATGAAGGTGATGTATATAGGGATGGCTCAAAACATCTGAAAGTAAGAAAGAAGCACAGCTAAGGCTACATGATACCATCCCTTTATCTATGAACAAAGATATTTTAGTTAGGAATGGTGTCATGTATTTTTTGTCAATGACCCCTTGTTTCTTACTTTTTGACGTTTTGAACCTCCCTATATCCCCCTTCATTTTCAATAAATGATTTTTCCACTTGTTACAAATACTATTTATGAACAGCTCTGACTACACATCATTTGCTTATAATTATACTCTGATGTCCACAGGATGACGATTAAACTGCCTGAAAAAGCAAGTACCATGCACATAAGAAGCTAGCTTTTGTAGTGGGAAGAAGTTGCATAGAGATGTGTGTGCAGTCCAGCATTGCTTTAACTGCTGCCCATTGATACAGCTAGCCTGTGTTAGGGCGAAAAATTGGCTCCATTGACGACGCATAGCCCAGCCTATCTAGCTTACATGTATGCTACAATGTGCCCGTTTTGTACCGAGGGTTAGCGCTTTAATGTTTTTAATATTTTCTATGGTTGGCAAATTTTGAAGAATATGTCTAGCCAATTGCAACCAAGTGTATCTTATAAAGGAAATATTTGGCATTCAGAGGTGACTAGGCAGGGTCGCTTTGCTCGGCAAAAATATTTGGCCCACTAATGGGTGCATGCTCTCTGTTGTTACTGCTGCCATCAATGGCTAAACAAAAATGGGGAAAGACGTTTGTTGACAACAGAGACCAGTAGCATTATGTCCCTATCCCTAGGCCCTACAGTGAAATAATCCTCAGAGAAAACGGTGCTTGAAAGCTAGAGTTTTATTGCATTCATCAGCTAATGCAAGTAAATAGCAACACAACAAAGTTGCAAATCGCTGCCTTAAAGAAAGGTTAAACATTTGTAAAATTTCTGTTCGATACACTTAATATAAATTTCATTGTTCTGCATCATGTGTGCAGACAAATAAAGCTTAACAAGGTGAAAGGGTTTCCAACAACCTTCGTCATGTACAGGCATCGGAACTTATCTTGGATATTATCTTAGATGGGATGGTGTACAGGTTATTGGTATAAGTAGACCCCTGACGCGCATTGTCAGCCATGGACCTGCCTACCTGCTGAGTGTCCCTGAAAAACCAGCAAAAGGAAGCAGAAAGTTTGTTGTTTGTGTATAGCTATACAGAATCCTTTCCTGTTGTTCATAAAGGGATAGGGACATAATGCTACTGGTCTCTGTTGTGAAGAAACGTCTTTCCCCATTTTTGTTTAGCCATTGATGGCAGCAGTCAGAACAGAGAGCATGCACCCATTAGTGGCCCAAATATTTTTTGGCGAGCAAAGTGACCCTGCCTGCCAAATGTGTCCATTACACTTTAGAAGAGACACTCTAGGTTGGCGAGTCATATTCTTCAAAATAAAGATTCTTCAAAATAGAAAATACAAAAAGCACTAAAGTTCTAACCCTCGGCGCAAAACTGGCACATTTTTAGCAATGATGTAAGCTAGATAGGCTGGGCCATGCGTCGTCGACAGAGCCAGTTTCTCGCCCTAACACAGGCTAGCTGCATCAGTGGGCAGTGGTTAAAGCAACGCTGGACTGCACACACATCCTTCCAAGATGTGCTAAGTGGGCTAAACCTGGTCGACGTAATCCATGCATACTGCCTTTCTCGCTTGTTTCCCACGTCACATTGTCTCCATGCAGTCGTTTCAGCCTTTTTATTTTTCGTGTTCTCATAGCTCTTAAGGTTGCACTCATAGGCCACCTCGTAGCTTGTAGTACCAGAATAGCGGTCAACACATAGACACTGTCACTGTGTAACTCTCCCTGAGCATAGACAACAAGGATACACTCGCTTTGCCTGTCTCACGCTTCGAAATCATGCGCATGCTCCGGTAAAACACTGACATGACGCGTGGGCACCAGCGTAGGTGCATGTAGGCTTTTTCGCTTGTTTTCACGCATTATCTCTGGAACACAGTCGTTTCAGGAAAATTGCCTCTTTATTTTAATGCTTTTGTTGCCCTAAAGCTGCTGGTATCGCTCATAGGCAGCCTCGTAGCCTGTAGTGCGAAAATATAGACAGACAGACAGACAGTCAGACAGCAGTGAGGAGCACATACGTATTGGCAATGCCTATATATCGCATATCCCTATTATTGCCTCACAGTAACGCAGAAAAATGGCATGTGTTCTAAAGAACAAATTTCGTCTACTATCCCTACCATCCATTTTAGCTTAACCACCTACTATTGCTTTAAAAAACAAAAGAACAGTCACAGTACAATGCCAAATTATAAGCACAGATTTTGGCACTCTCAAAGTTCAGGTCTATGTAAGGGTAGTATCCGTAAGGGAACTAATGACGACCATAGCACCCACTGACTGTTAATATACTGTATGTCACCCATCTCGGTCACGTTACGGGTTATTGTATGTGTAACCACCACTGTACCACCACCACTACAACTTAGTCACTTATAATAACTCAGCTGTACTGTAAGCCAGGGAGATCACATTATCTGGGTCACTACATAATTATGTTTAGTGGCTAACCTTGGATTCTTTAAGAGATCTTCAGCTGATATGACAGTAGGATTTAGATTGATTTTACTCTTTACCATTTTGTACATACTGAATAATTCTTCAAAACCCAAGGTGTCGGTAAAAAATGGTACTCTACCCTCAGCTTTACTCATTCTCTGCATAGAAGACGCAACAGCCACTGGATCACGAATTAGGAAAGTGTGCGTGAAATTAGCAAATTCTCCTTCAGTATACTGCTCAAAACTTCCACTAATATAGTACGCCAAATCCTTGATAAAAATACACTCATATCCTTCACTTAGGCTTTGCTGCACTTGAGATAAGATAGATTTTCTTTTGGTTGTAAACATCTTCTCATCATTCCTAAGCCTCCCATCTTCGCAGAAGAAAGCAAAACAGTTTGGCTCATGTATGACTTTCACTTTCTCAAGCTCTCGCATTGAGCGCTCAACCGCTGTAGAAGCACATCGGTGGCAACTCCACAGAATAACGCAAGCCATCGGAGAGGTCCAGTGCGTGCACCGACCGCTAAAGAAGGAGGGGTGTGTTGTAAACTGCCAGTAACGTGACACGCACGTGAAACTGTGTTACGCCTCTAGCCGGCCTATATAGCCTAATCTCGATCCGTACCCAGGCGCGGCCCTATGGCACGTGACAGTTCAGCGATTTGCTGATTCAGGTTTCGGTCAGATGGCTGAGTGAACGTCACGAGAGCATGTGACCGCGTAGAAGTACGGAGCTCCGTGTACACGAGCGTAGCTTAGTCTAGCAAACCAGACCCTCACGCGCGGGGAGAGAGGGTCTGGTGACGTTGCCTTAGCGGAGTTGTGCAGGCAGTACAGCTGCGTAATCAGGTTACTTGTCGCGAAGCGGAGGTGTAACGATTACGTGCCATTACGCAACTTTACCGCTGTTACGAAAAAACACCCACATAGCAGTGATGACATTTGTCTTGCCCAAACCCAGGCCGATAGGCTGGCCTAAGTGTACTGTAGCGGAAGTATGTATACAACCACTAGCGATCACTGAAGTGCAAACCCTCGGCGCATTGTGACGCGCACGCGTGAGTAAACGCATGCGCTGTATCACTAATCGATGGGCTGGGTTTAGTTTTTCATGCCAGGTCGCGCAGAGTCTGACGCGGGCTAACTACACTACTAGATAGCATGCGAGAGGCGATACACACCCTGCGCAGGGGCGGATCCAGGGGGGTCATGAGGGGGGGCAGCTGACCCCCCCTTCAACCACAGCTTCGTCGACCTGGCAGCCAGAGACCCTACCACCGTCCACCAGGGCACGACGCTGCAACTGCGAATCGCACCACGTTCCGCGAAGGACCTACTCTAAATAACGCACAAGTGCAAAGGTCATGTATTGCGGGACACGTGATCGTGGATTTTTTTTGCTTTTTGCACACATGCACACATTTACTGTTATGATTTATTAAATTTTTTGCATGATTTTGATTGTCGAGAATTGACCGAGAATGCACTAGAAAATCAGTGCTCGAAATCAAAAATATTTCTGGGGGGTCATGCCTACAGTTAGCACCTGGACCTAGCTACATTACCAGACCTACATTGTCACCTGGGTGTTTATCTAAATTATATCTCCACAAACATTACCACAACACGATCACCACCTATATAATGTGTGAGCATTCTGTAAGATGAGAGATTGAGTCCAGACACTCTCGGCGTCGAGAACGGCTGCGACCGTTCTCTCGGACCGCGCACTACATTAGAGCAGGTCGTTGTTGGTTTTGTGTAGAGAGATCCGTCTGGAGTTTCTCCATCCGTGCGACTAACTGCTCTAAGAGTTCCGCCGTGCGGTCTTGTTGAACGGGCGGACGACCGTGGTGAACAGCGTCAACCGGAAAAGCGCCGGTCCGAGCACCTGCGGCATTGGCGAGGTTGAGATGCGCCTGTAGTTCCAGTGTTGCGGCGACCGCGGCGTCAATGGTTTTGGGTTCCTTCTGTCGGACGCCGAAAGCCAGTTGCGGATCTGAGATTTGTGTCAGGAAGCGATCTACGGCCAATCGTTCTCGAGCGTTGTCGTCGAGGTCCGGTAGCGCTTTATCCACTAGATGTTTCAGGTCGTCGGCGAAGGTCGACCAGTCTTAATTTTGTTTCACCTCAATCATAGCTTCTCCCTTACGCAGTTTGTAACATCCTACTCATATCCATCCCAATGCAAATCCTTGATGGTAGCAAATCCTTGATTGATCTAGTCTTCCTATCAGACTTATCAAAGCTCTTCAGATGTGACACAGTTAGTTCCTTGGGATCACCATGGAATATCATTGATATTGAATAAGCAGCCAAGTCGTCACAATGGTCAACCCAGACTTGTGTGGATCTTTAGTCAGGCTGACTTCTACAAGGCCAGACGCCTAATCCGTGAGACAGACTGGGATAATCTCCTCAAGGGGACCATAGATGAATGTGCTCTATTATGGCAGCAGACTTACCTTGAAAACTGTATATATTCCTAGGAAAATTCTGCCAAAAGAATGAAAGATTGTCGTGGATAAACTCTGCTGTCAATAAACAAATTAGGAAGTGTAAAAAAATCTGGAAAAGCCTCAGATGAAGCTAAGTACCGAAAATTATGAAAATTTAGTTGTAAATGTTCTGCACCCTTCCAAGAGGACTTGCTTTATCTGCCTTAACAAGAGACAAAACAGTTTTGGAAGGCTTTCAAAGTTGTTAACAAAAAAGGCATTAATTCCTTCATTGGTACATGATAACACTGAAGCTCACTCTGATAAAGAGAAGGCAGAAATGCTCAGTGCCTACTTTGCTAAAAGCTGGAATATTCTTGTCCACAACTCTGTGCACAAGATCAGTACTTCGGTGAATTGGATTATACTTTCCTTGACGACTTTACTTGCATGGAAGAGGAGGTATATCATCTCCTCAAAACCCTTAATAGCTACATCAAAAGCTGCTGGTCCGGATGGTATATCCGTAAGAATTTTACTAGAGATAGGATCTGCCATTGCATCATCACTATAGCTGATATCTTTTCTCAATCTATCAGGGGTGCTTTCCTGCCTGCTGGAAAATTGTAAATGTAGTACCAGTTCCCAAATCGTCTTCTCAAAAGTCATCTCCAGGTGGTTGCAGACCAATATCTCTCTTACCCATCAATAGTAAGATAATTGAGAAACACATCTACTCAATCATTTTTTTAGAGCACCCTATAGCACATAATCAATGGGGTTTTCAATCAGGGGTATCATGCATAACAACTTTACTGACAACAACCTATGATTGGTAGCTACAATGGTATGGAAAATGGGAAATATTTGTCACTGTGTTTTTTGACTTCCACAAAGCTTTTGACTCTGTTCCCAATGGACCACTGATTAGTAAACTCCAAAACACAAGCCTATATACACCCTCACAGAGATGGATGTATATACCAGCAGCACTCTTATTGCTTCAAGAAGACATTAATTAATTATCCCTTTGGGCGCCATTTACATATATATATATATGCACAGAGCCTCCATAAGTGCATAAGAATTTATATATGGCTCTAATACTAGGCGCTAATATGTTATACATCTCATTTAAGGAGACACCTATGGCGCCCAAAAAGGTTAACAGCATAGTTCAATGTATGTATAATTGAAGGGAGTTCTATATAAAGTCTGTTTAACATGAGCATTCTCCCTCTTCTATCGACAGCCCATTGATAAGAAAGCGATTACTATAGCTACGTTCAACTTTTCCATTCCTCATTCAGTAACAAACTATAAAGACTCGCCACGTCTCCCTAATATGATATGTATTCCTACAGTAATAATAATACTTAGGTGGCTGCCATAGCACTAGGGCCATAGACCACGCACCAAAAGTTATTGCACTAATGGAATTTCATCAGGCTCCACCAGGCTTCCTCTTATACTATCCCCCCTTATGCAGCAGTATTGGAAAAATAATTATTTGCATCAACACATAAATGCACATTTTCCAAACTATAGTTGTTCATTTAAAAACTTGTCAACTATTTTGTTGAATTTTAAGCTGAATTTCCAGTGAAGAGAATGCCTTCCTTCAGGAATAATTTTACACTGGCAATTCCTAACATTCCTTTGTAGAAATTCAATTTGATACGAGGGAAGAACTGGATCCTCGTCTCCACTAACTATCAGAGTTGGACACTGAACCTCTCTAACCTCTTTCTTACAAATATCACCTTTTCTCACTTGATCTGAGTAAATGCTAATAAATCCAACAAACCACTTTTCCCATAGTAAAGCCAACTCTTTCCCGTAGTACATTTCAGCCACGGCCCTAATTTTAGGGTCCCAATTATCACCACTTCTTGATTTTTCAAACAGTTTTACATCCATACTGTCCAGAAATGAACGTGCCCCCCAAACTACCATATATTTTATGACATCCGGGAACTTAGCAGCTGCAATGATTGCACAAGTTCCTCCGTCACACCACCCAAGGATGGAAAATTGTTTGAACCCCAGAGCCTTCATAAGGAAAACAGCATCATTTGCATCAACTTCATAATACGTGGGAGACGTATACCCACGACTGTGTTGTATTGATCTACTCAGGTAAGTAAGCCGGTAAAGTCCACCTTTGTCGAGGCGGTGTAGTTAGACCTGTGCTACGGCGATATTTCTTGGGGCAAAAGATAGGTATACCATCGGTTTGTAATGTATCAATTTTGGATTGAGATTGAAAAACGGATTGGCAGATAAACACTCGGGAGTTGTTCCGACCAAGGTACTGTTTTTTTTGCGTTTTTCGCCTGTTTCTCGCTTTTGGTGACGCGGATCTCTATCCAAAATTGATACCTACTAGATAAGTCCTCTAGGTTTTGTTAGGTGTGGACTTCGTTGCCTATAACCAGCGTCTTCGTGACCGCCTTTCTCGATATTGTCTGGGAGAGCGACGCTACTAAGATTGTACTATCCCATGGATGCGGAAGTGGGCGTGGCCAATGTAACCACGCCCACTTGCGGTTTGATTGAGCTTTATATCAGGCTTTGTTTGACTTCGATATAACCTTTGGTTGGCCCAAATCTTTTACTTGAACTCAGTTGTTTATTTCAGTCGATTTTGCTTGACCCAGTCCTTAACACACCTGAGTACCGTAGCCCCGAGGATCATATGCGATAAAAGTATAGCCGCTTCCGGAACGACCAAAGTAGTTGATTTGCGGTACAAAGAAAATTGTGCCTCCCAAAGCACCAGGCATGCACAGTATGGCATGTGGTCCATTGCCATAGCGTTCATAGTATAATTCAATACCATTGACATTCACTGTACCTGAAGTACCTTTTACCTTCACATTGTTCTCTACCACTGCATCACGGGTTTGTTCATTCATTTCAGCCATATTTTACCATCAAGAACTAAACTCTCCACCTGCATTTTGTACATAGATCAGCATTCAACTATCTATCAACATGTCACTAGCTTCCTAGCTAGTCGGAATGGAGGGATATAGGGATGGCTCAAGCATGTTAAAGTGTTAAGAAACAAGGGGTCATACTATATCTCTTTTCTTTTGATTCATAGGCAAAAATAATATGTCAGACAAAGCTACAAGGATGGTGTCATGTAGCGTCTTTGGCTGTTCTCACATTTTCATGCTTTTGAGTACCCCTCTTTGATTTTTCGACCTGTAGCTATAGGGATGGCACATGCAGGTCAACCTCACTGGATCTTGTGTGTGGCATGGGCATTCACTTGCACAGTTCATCACTTAGCATCCGACTCTAAAGTTTTTTTTAGACTTCTCTGCACAATGTGTGAATTAAACAGAAGCTAGGCTTCTAAAAGCAGGGCAGGTGTGCATTTCTGAGCCTTTGGCTATTTTTATTTTAACCCTTAGCAAGCCCTGACATAATTATATATATATATATATATATAATGTGCCCAGGGCCTCCACATGTCCATAATAATTTATAAAATAATTATGGCTATAATACTAGACGTTAATATGTTATACATCAATTTCTGCTTATTTAAGGAGATACCCATGGCATAAAGTTTTGTCATTCATGAATAACCACTCTACAAGTTGGTTTTCTCATCCACATACCACACAATTTACACTAATCCCATGGTGAACTACAAAATACATTGCTAGGTTCCGTTTATACCATAGATTGATTTGTTGCCTCATGGATGATATTCGTTAAAACCACCACAATGCAACGCGTGAGCAAAGCGAGCAGTTCAATTTTTTGCATGTGTTTTACCCTCACAAGAGAGTTTTTTTTCAAATATCGACGTGCGAGACGTACGGATTGAACAAGAAGTAGGTGAAAGAGACAGAGACGAAAGATCTCCAGTCCATTCAGCTTATCACTAAGTACGGTAGTACTTGGTAATAGGGATTGACATGGTAGCTACCTAGCATCATATATGTATGGGGCTATGATAGGGAGTTCATCATCATCTTCTTCTTCTTCTTCCTGTTCAACCAGCATAACTCAAAAACCGAAAGAGATAAAGCCATGACATTTTGTAGGAATGTATTCATGGGCAACGTCATACTTTTTTGTTTGTAAACAACTAAAAATGTGCCCCAGGCAATACAATATACATGTGTTAGTGTAATTCACATTAATTGTAAGAGCTATGTGAACGAAACTTAGTATACATAATGTATTCAATACCCAACATCAAAATTACAACAATACATATTTATAAACAACAACAAATAGCCTCAGGCACTTTTCTTTAAATTTACTTCTTCACGTCTCAAACTCCTTAATGGTAGGACGCATAGGGATTAAACTTGGTACGTATACCTATTATTTCATTACCATGACAACTACATGTTTCCATGACGACCGCATACTGTTTGAAGAAACCTCAGACGATTATCTTTATAATTACTTCTTCACTCCTCAAACTTGCCAACTGTAGCATGTATGGAGGTGAAACTTGATACTCATACGTATTAAACTGTTTCCATGACAACCACAACCCAAAGTAGCCTAAGGCACTTTACTTTAAATTTACTTCTTCATTCCTCAAACTCGCTAACGGTACCACGCATGGAGATAAAACTTGGTGCGCATGTGTATTACATCGTTTCCATGATGACCACAACAACAAATAGACTCAGGCACTTTTCTTCAAAATTACTTCTTAACTCCTCAAACTCGCTAACGGTATATACCACGCATGGAGATGAAACTTGGTATATACGTATGTGTGTAACATGTGAGGTGGTTTGTGGGCGGGCGTGAGCTGCCTGGCTATCTATACATGGCAAGGAGGGAGATGGGCTCAAAGCAGACACAGAAAACTGTCTTGTGGAAAAAGAAAATCAAGATGTCAGTTATTTTGATCAACATTTTGTACAGATCATGTTTTGCGGGATACATTTCCTACATGAAATGCTGTTGAACTTGTTGAAAATCAACAGAAAAAACAAGGTTTCATATCATGTTTTCATGTTACTTTTGTTAGCTCACGAGGTTCATATGAGAAATCAGGAACCTCGTACTAACAAATCTGATTGGTCGATTAGAATCAGCTATGCACTAAGTAATAGTATATAAAAATGGGTGGAGACAAGTATATTAAAAATCCTGCGAATTTAAAAAAAGAGGCATATAGGGATGGTATAAAATATAGGGAGACAAGATAGGGATTGGATACATGAAGCATGGTTAATGAACAGATTTGAGTACGCTGACACCCCCAACCCCATCACACCATCCATATATTGTTGCCTAGGTGAAGTATTAAACATTCACCATTACAATACTCAGAACTTACAATGCACTACTGAGTAAACCCTTTAGAGTCCAAGTCGAGTTTAATTCAAGGGAATGTGGCAGTATAAATGCTACTAAAAATGAAAAGCACTGAAGTGCAAACCCTCGGCGAACTGCGCATGTGCGGTACCACTAATTGATGGGCTGGGCTTTTTATGCCTTTACTCGTGGTATCCCGCTAGTAGCTCGCGGAGAGTCTGACACGGGCTAGCTACAGTAGTAAATAGCATGCGGGAGTCGATACATGCCCTTCGTTGTGACTTGTTGTGCCTTCAAGACACACAGAGCGAGACGGACGCGGTCGGGGTAAGCCTGTGCTAATTTACATATAGGCTTGTTCACTTGGTTTTCACGCCATAACTTTAAAACAGTAGTTTTACGAAAATCGCCTTTTTTTAAATCAACCCAGTGTAGCACTGAACCCGATCATATCGTTATTTACCTGATTTAGTGCGCGCGGTGGCAGAAAACGTGGTAACAGACAGACAGACTGACAGACTGACTGACACACTTACGGGACAACTACCGTAACCCTCGCTGCGCATGCGCGCCGAGGGTTAACAACAGGGACACGGTGAAAGAGTGCTTGCTTTTAGTAACCTTTATCCTGTAGCACACCAGGCAACAATATTATAGGATGGTGTGATGGTGTCAGCATACTCAAATCTGTTCATTAACCATGCTTCATGTATCCAATCCCTATCTTGTCTTCCTTTCTTTTTATACCATCCCTATACGTCTCATCCTAATTCTGATGCTCCTCGGTCATCTTCCGCCCCAGTCTATGATCAATGACTAGGCATCTCCCTGTGTTACCAAAATTCACGCAGTCTCGTCAACAAACTCTCTAAAATCCAATCTTTAGTGTACTCATCCACCTTTGATGTGATTTGCATTACAGAAACTCGGCTGACTCATTTCATCTACGATAAAGAGATTCTTCCTAAAGGTTACACCCTGTATCGTAAAGACAGAGAGTCTCGTGGAGGCGGTGTCCTCATAGCAGTGAACGATAATCTTCCCAGTGTCCTCTTTCCCTCCCCTCCGGACCTAGTTTGTCACCGTACAACTCTGTCCTCCACACAATACTATCTCCATTTGTGCTGTTTACATACCCCCAAATCCTGACGTCCTATACATCGAGCGATTGATTGCTTTCCTGAATTTTCTATCTACTAATGAAACATCTCTCATTATCATTGGGGATTTCGACCAACCTGACATATGCTGGGCATCCCTCTCCGGCACTTCGTTAGTCTCAAACCTCTTCTGCGACTTTGTTTTTGAAAAGAACCTGTCTCAGCTTATCACTTGTCCTACCCACATCAAAGGCAACACACTTGATATTCTCCTGACTAATGATGAGCAACTTGTCCACAACCTTTCCATGTCTAAGTGTTCCTCTTCCCTGCCTTCTGATCATTACCTTATCTCCTTCAACATACCTCTCACCTGCCCCTCAACCAAGATCCATGAAGCCTTGGTCGTGTACGATTATGCCAACGCCGACTACGAAGGACTATGTGACTCACTACTTGAAATTGATTTCAGCCCCTGCTTCCTATCCAATTGCGTAGAATTAGTTTGGTCTTTCATAAAGCGCACCATTCTTCATGCTATGGACTTGTTCATCCCAAAAGTACGTGTCAAATCCTCACCCAATCCAAAATGGTTTAATCCTGCGATTCGTCACACAATCAAATGCCTGCGCACTCATAAGAGAAAATGTC